TTCATAATGGGTTTCCATAGTGTGGCCGTTATTTCTCCTACAACGCTGTCCTCATTTGTGACAGCACTGACAGACCACCCTCTGTTGCGGACTTATCAGCACCGCACTGATTCCCACATCCCATTTTGCGGACTTGTGTCGGTGCTGCACCAACCCCACTTATTTGCAGACTTGTATCGGTGCTGCATGCTGACCTCCACTTTTCCCCTCTGGCCATTTTTGTCACTTGGCAGCATACCATTCATTCCTTGCCGAGTGCCTATATTGTTCATCTATTCATTCGCTTAACTTGCCAATATTGGCTCTTGATCCATGTGCTGATGCACTTCTTATTACCTGTCAATATTGATACTTGATCTGCTTTTGCTTTAGTTCATTGCCTCCCATTTCCTGGGCTCTTGTCTTTATTCAGTTTGACAATCCCCACTCATTTCCACGCTGGACTGCACCGGACTGACCAGCCCTTCTTTGTTTTCCTCCTGCCTATTTATATCCTGTAAATACTTTCAGGGACCTCAGTCTGAAATCAACTAGAGTACCCCCCCTGTCCTGGTCTGAGTCCCTCCTTCTGCAAAGGGGGCTTCCCCCCCTCTGAGTCCGTGCTTGCAGAGTCCACGCTCCTCCTACAGGTCCACTCCACCCGCAAGTCTTGTTTGAAGTCTGCTGTAAGTGTCAGTCTATAAATATGGGATCTCCCCCAAATGTCAAGCTCAGGGCACAGCGCTCCACTTGAGTCGCTGAGGCCGCAATCCCACTCTGCTAACCTTGAACAGCGCTTCCGGATGCGCCGCATATTTCCACCTGCATATCCACACATGTGCGCTCCAACAGACTTCTGCCAACACCTCCGACCCCAACTCAGACAGAAACCCATCCGTCTTCAGTCTGTCTTCTGACAGTCTGCCCGACTCTGACAGTATTCCAGACTCTGACAAAGATCTAAGTAGTAACTGAAAGGACACATCCCCCCTGAAATCAGGAATTTCTTATGGAAACTCACCACAAGTGCCTCAAGATAGGCAACTACTGGATGAGAATCCCAAAATATGAGCACCACAGCAAGTGCAAGCACTGCCAACAAACAGAAACAATAGATCACATACTTTTCAAATGCCCACAGAACCATGGCAAAAGACTCTGGGCCATTGCCAAAGTGATATGCGATCGCAGGAAGATCACTTGGCCAACCAACCTCAATGTCTCACATGTGATGGCTGCCCCGATCGCCAGAATAAACACCACGATCGGACAGTTGAAGAATGGCAAGACCAGGCTATTCAGAATAGTAGTACTTGAGTGTGCATGGCAAGTGTGGAAAGCCAGATGCTGTAGAGTAATGAACCCCAATCGACCACTCACCACACTAAAAGAGGTCACCAACACCTTCCAAGCTGGCCTCAATGAAAAGCTCCAACAAGATATCATGTCAACGTGCTGTAAGAGATTCAGCCACAAAGCGCTACCAGCAAAACTCGTGCTACACACCTGGAGTGGCAACCTACAAGAAGAAGAGCGGTTTCCGGACAGCTGGCTTCACAGCAGCAGGGTTTTAGTGGGTATACCGGACCGGGAGTCCCACACACATGCATAATGCATTTCCTCATAAGTGGCAGACCGGACCAAACCGATCATTAACCTAACGGGAACACCCATTTCCCAATACAAGCCCCAAATACAGTAATGTATCGCGAAAGCTACTGGGGCTCCACTAAAAAAAAAAAGAAAAGAAAAGAAGCAACCTCAAAAAAGAACAACTTCCGAAAGATTGGCTAAAAACCAGCGAGGTTTTAGTGGGTATTCCTGATCCCCCCAGATCAGCGTGAGCCCCACACTAGCCTGGTAACCCCCGACAGTGCGTAAAGGCATTTCCCCGCGGTGGAGCTTTCGGATTAACCAGAACATCATACTCTACTTCCAACCCAGGAGCTCTGCTCCTACCTACAAACCCTCAGGCAGCCCCTGCCCAGCGAAAGCTACAAGGGATTCCACCAAAAAAAAAAAAAAAGGGTGTGAGAGTTTCTGAAATATTCTGTGCTTGCTCTGCAATCATCAATATAAGACGAAATGTTGGACTAGCGATGTTGTCGCTCAGTCCCGTTGTACGTGAACTAAAAGTATATTAGAATAATCACCTAGCGATGTTGTCGCTGGTGTACGAATATTAGATACACGTTTTATGGATGATGAACAAGAGATAACCAACATACCTCAGTCCTGTTGTACATGAACTGAGGAAAGGTTGGGTTGTGAAAAATTGTTCTTTTATAGTCAGGCGCTATGAATGCGCACTGACTTTGGCATGGATGCCACCAAGAAAGGCAATAGGTGTAAATCTAAATGCCACACGACTCAACATCACCAAACGTGAGTTGGTCATAGCGAACACCATAATACCAAGAATTCTAACATGCCCACTCGCTAGATCTACTCATGTAATCCCATCGCAGTATGGAACTTCGAATGTTTTTCATGTGCCAGAGCCTTTGTAAGGACATCGGCTACTTGGTCGTTCGTCAACATGTAATCGAGTGTGATGTCGTTGTGTTCAACGTGTTCGCGAATAAAATGATGTCGAACGCCAATGTGTTTCGTACGAGCGTGGAAGGTGGGATTTGATGCCAGCGCGATAGCGCCCTGATTATCGACGAGTAAGGAAGTGGAATGGGCGAGAGGGAAGTGTATGTCACGAAGGAACTGTTGGATCCAAAGTGCTTCTTTAGTAGCATGAGTCATTGCCATGTACTCGCCTTCTGTACTCGAGAGTGCAATAGATGTCTGCTTCTTCAAGCTCCAGCTAATAGCCGCGCCAGCCATTATAAAAACGAAACCAGACACGGAACAAAAGTCTCTTGGGTCTCCAGCCCAATCCGAATCGGAATATCCAGTGTGATCGTCGTATTTTGACTTTCTGTCGTAGACCAATTTGTAGTCTTTGGTGGCATTGAGATAGCGAAGAAGTCGATTGATGGCGATCCAATGTTCTTCCCCTGGATTCAATGAGTACTGACTCAGTGTGGTGACGGCGTAGCCAATGTCCGGTCGGGTACCGAGCATCGCGTACATAACGGAGCCTATTCGTGATTGGTACTCGTGGGTGTGGATCTCAGGATCGGGTTGATCATGGCGAAGGAGTTTAAGGTTAGGGGTCATGGGAGTTGAAATACTGCGAGAATTAGTAAAGCCAAATCTTTCGACAACGTCAGACACGTATCGTGATTGGGAAACGGTAATTAAGCGCTGTGCACGATCGCAAGTAATCACCAGTCCAAGAAACCAATGAATTTCGCCCAAGTCTTTCATTTTGAATGCAGAACGCAGCTGCCTCTTCTTCTTTCGAAGTAAGTTGAGATCATTTGAAGCGATGAGGAGGTCATCGACATATAAAGCGACGATGCAGAATTTGGCGTGGGAGGAATAAATGAATACTGCGTGGTCGGATTCACAGCACGTGAAGTAGAGTTTGTTGAGTTCGGCTTTCGCCTTCTTGTACCAGGCGCGTGACGCCTGTTTGAGTCCGTAGAGGCTCTTCTGCAACTTCCACACAATATCGGGCCACCCATAATCATCGCATCCAGGAGGGGGATCCATGTAGATTTCATGCTCTAGATCACTGTTGAGGAAGGTGGTCTTTACATCCATTTGATGAAGTTCGAGATCGAGACGGGCAGATAGGGCTAGGAGTATTCGAATGGAGGTCCATTTGACCGCAGGTGCGAAAGTCTCGTCGTAATCGATTGCGTGGACCTGACTAAAACCTTTCGCAACCACGCGCGCTTTATAGCGCTCCACTTCTCCGTTAGCATTTCTCTTTATCGCAAATACCCATCTCGAACCAACCACATTCTGAGCATCGACGTCTCGCTTTCGCACTGAGACGTAAGTTCCCGTCTCCCTTAATGCTGATAATTCTTCCACACAAGCCTCGAGCCATGAACCCACGTCGTGACGGTCCATCGCCTGTTTGTAAGTCCGTGGTATTTCCACATTCACGTTTAACGCCCAACTAACGCCCACTGTTTCAGGGGCTCTCGTCGAACGATTGTAAGAAGAAACGGAGTATCGAGCGTCGTCATCAGGGATGGGGGCACGATGGATATGTCCTGAGCGTCGTGGTTCAGGGGGCCTGGATTCAGGTTTAACAGGTATGTCTCCTCCATCTACCTTCTCCTCATCATCGCTCTCACTTCCCCTTTCCTCTCGATCTTCGTGATCACCATCACCATCACCGTCTCCATCTTCATCTCCCATTTCCTTAACCTCTCCTTCATCACTCTTCGCGGGGACAACGACGTGCGTCGGGGAATCTTGTGATTCAACCTCGATCATCACCCACTCAGATTCTCCATCCATTCCCTCAAAGAAGTGAACGTCCCTGGACTCGTGGAGTTTACGAGTCTTGGGATCGAAGACAACAAAGGCCTTCTTGCCTTGCGCCATGCCAAGATGGATTCCAAGAATTGAGCGATTATCGAGTTTTCAACGAAGATCGCAGTGGATGTGGAGGGTGGCTTTACAGCCAAAGGTACGTATCATGGTAACACTTGGCTTATTGCCAGTGTATCGTTCGTAGGGGGAGAGATCGTGAGGAAGTACGGAGTGGGGGGATACGTTTTTGATTAGTGCCGCATGTCGCAGCGCGTACGGCCAAGCAGTGCGGTCGACTTTCAACTCGAGCATAGCGATAGTCATGGTGACTAGAGTCCGGTTGACTCTCTCAGCTACGCCGTTCTCCTGCGGTGTTCGCGGATTTGTACGCTCATGAACGATTCCGATTCCTTTTAGGTACGACGAGAACTCATCCGAGAAATATTCGCCACCACCATCAGTACGGAGGATCTTGAGTTTAGACCCTGTCTGGCATTCCGCTTCAGCAAGATACTCTTTGAATCTGTCGAGCGCGTCAGACTTCTTCTTCATCGGGTAAACAGTAAGATAGCGGCTGAAGTCATCAACGAAGGTGATGAAATACTTAAAACCTTCTCGCATTACAGTTTTGGTCTCGCATACATCGGAGAAAACTCTGCCAAGGACTTGATCGGCGCGAGTATGAGTTTTGGAGGGGATAGGATTACGATGGTGTGAGGACGCCTCGCATTCTGCGCAATATTTTGGTTCGTCCTGCGTTTCACTCCCAATCAGATCCATGCCCTTTACCATCCCGCTTCTGATCATTTTGAGGATAGATTCCTTCAAGATATGACCAAGGCGTTTGTGCCACACATCCAATGATGCGCTGGCGGTAATCGATCGTGCGATATTGGAGGAGTAGGAGTCGGCAGCGTGGGAGGAGGTGATATAAGCCTTCTCCAAGGCTATGACCGTAACAGGTAATTGGTACAAACCGTTCTCGGCGTTGGCAACAGCAATGAGCTGGTCCGCTGAGTCAAAGATCTCACACTTTCCGCTTAGGAACGTTGCATATGTGCCAGATGAATTGAGTTGGATGACGGATAAAAGGTTATGGGCGATCTTCGGGCGAATGATGGTGTTTCCAGGTGAGTTTCCAGTAAGAAAAGTCACTTTCACCTGTCCAATGCCTGGCACTAAAATTACCTTTTTGTTACCTAGGACGATTTTTCGAGGAGGATCAAGGGGACGATAGGAGATGAACCACTCGCGATTACCACATAAGTGCGCGGTGGCTCCAGAATCGACTATCCACTTGGAGCGTCAAGGTTCATTACCAGTGGGTGTTGCACTTAGTAAGTCTGAAGCTCCAGCGACTAAGACTTTGTCTTTTTCATCAGGAGAGGTTGCGACTTTGGCCGACTCCTTCGGCGTCATCGACTTTGACTTGCCCTTCCCCCTTCTGCATCTCGATCTCTTCCCTTCCGACCCTCCACCTTCCGACCAACATTGTTCTATTGTATGACCTAGTGCTCCACACTTAGGATTCGAGCAACGAACCACCGGTTTGGCAGTATTCATTGTCGAGCCACTCGACTTTTTCTTTTCGCGATGGCCAGACTTTCCACCGTTGGTGAACATGGCGGCGATCTCAGGGTCGTTATTCCTGAGTTTCTCTTCTTGGAGTATGTGTCGGATTAGGCTTGTGGAGGTTACGGTGTTGACGTCGTTGACGTGGACGATGACATAGGTCTTTATGGCGTGATACGTAGCGGGGAGTGCTTTGGCAAGAGCTATGACGAAGTCACCTTCATCAACCTTCCAGCCCATTTCGGATAGTTGGGTGCGGAGTTGTCGCATTTCATTGATCTGTGGCTCCAGCGGCTTAGAGTCGTCCATGTGGAAAGTATACAGATTGTCATATCCATACAATCCCGACCTCTGCTCCGGGCTCCCGGAACTCCGAACTCCGACTTCCGGAGCCCTACTTCCCTTCCGTCACCTTCTCCTTGCCAACTCCCAAGAGGTTATCCCACCTCCGGCTCAGACACCACCTTCGGTCCGACTCCGGAACATTCCGGGTCCGACCCCAACCTCGACACCTTCCAGACGAGTACGCAACACCTATGTCCCCGACTCCGGACCTCCGCTCCGGAATCCTGTTGACGTCTCGTCTCCGGAACCTCCGGTCTTAGCTCCGACCTCGGACTTTGACCCCACCTCCGCTTATACCCATTGTATTGGTTAGCTCATTCCATTTAATTACCTTTGCCAATATTCCGGAGTTTAACCTCCGAGTTCGGACTTTCCGGACTTACTCCGGACCTTGCAACTATTGCATTGTCCATTTCAATTCCGCTATTCTCCCTCATTCCTATTTGGGCTGCTGCTTCCTTCTATTCAGTCAGCTAGCCATTCCCGACTCCCATCCTCCTTCCTTCCTCCTTGGGCCTTGGCCCTTCATTCCTCCTTTGGGAAACACCATTGAGTCAAACACTTGACCCTCGGTGTTGTTCCTCTTTCCATCTCCCTTTGTCTCCTTTCATCCTACCCTTGTTCCTTTTGATTCCGGACCCCTCCTTATATACAATGTACCTAGTAACTTGTAACCTCAGTCCGAAATCAACTTGAATTCCCCCCAAGAGACTTTCCCTCTGCTAGATCCGAAATTAGGGACCCCTAGGACAACCAGCAATGGCACAGCGCTCCACATGAGTCGCTGAGGCCAAGGTCCTTCCATGATAAGTCTCCGATTCCATTCCGGAGTCGTCCGAATCCGCACATTCTAACACAGATCACCGTGGATAATCATGGCATCGTGTGCACCATGACCGTTGTAGCGATTAGAAAGGAGTTTCCATGCTTTGCAAGCATGGGGAGCTTCATCAATTAGCATGATAGGTTCGTCACCTATATAGCACTTGATATACATTAACGCCTTCATATCCTTCTTCAACCAGTCCGTGAGGTCTTGGCCTGTTTCCGTTGGCATGGCAACGCCGCCTGTTGACGTGTCTTGCACGACCTCCCAAACCTCTCCTATCTGAAGTATCGACTTCATCCTAGACGCCCACGTACAGTAATTCTTGCCCTCATTGTCTAAGACTTTAATGGGGAACCGGGAGCTGTCTGGGGAGATGGTTGTTGTTGAGGAACTGGCAGCTGCACTAGCGGTTGCAGTGGTGTTGGACATTGGGAAGGAAGGGGATATGGAGTTCACAAGGTAGGACGAAGTTCAGAGTGAACGGGGCTCGTAACCTATAAGACGAAATGTTGGACTAGCGATGTTGTCGCTCAGTCCCGTTGTACGTGAACTAAAAGTATATTAGAATAATCACCTAGCAATGTTGTCGCTGGTGTATGAATATTAGATACACATTTTATGGATGATGAACAAGAGATAACCAACATACCTCAGTCCCGTTGTACGTGAACTGAGGAAAGGTTGGGTTGTGAAAAATTGTTCTTTTATAGTCAGGCGCTATGAATGCGCACTGACTTTGGCACGGACGCCACCAAGAAAGGCAATAGGTGTAAATCTAAACGCCACACGACTCAACATCACCAAACGTGAGTTGGTCATAGCGAACACCATAATACCAAGAATTCTAACAATCAAGTGGGTGATACAACAGAAGATAATAGTAGTATTTCTGTACTATCCGACCGTGGATAATCTTCGCCTAAACACAGTGCTAGTACTAGTACCGCAGTACTGTGTTCCCGTGATGAGTAATAGGTGGTCGTAAGCGGGATCTGATACGTCCTTACCCAAGTAAAAAAATCGCGTGTTCAGGGAAAGTAGATATGAATACAATCGGTAGAAAGGTGCTCATTACAGTACTGCTGTGGAAGCCTGATGATATGCGTCGCCTGAATGTAGGTATAAAAAATGTCCAGTGGATCTTCAGGGATGATGAAAGGCTAGTCGTGGCGGCTCACTCGGCGTACAAGGCCGGCGACAAGTAGCATACCGGCGGCAGCCGCACCACCCATCAGAGCCATTCCAATATATCCATCTAAAAGCAGGGAACGTCAAGTACCATCGCAAGGAGATTTTTTCATCCAACAGACCTCTTGTAACAGCCTGGTTAATAAGTGAAGCCAGACTTTGGGCTTGCAAATTTGAGGGCTCCTTTTGCAGCAGCAAGTCTACCAAGTCAAGCGCGCTTGGGACTTCCGATGATGACATGAGATGGGAGTGAATCGAGCGTACTGTTAAACTTTTGGGCATCCTCGTGATTACCCATCTTATAGTGGCCGAGTGCAAGATAATATAGGCATTCTCTTCGTCTGTTAGGCTCATCCCGATAAATCTCTGCGCAAGAAAAAGCCGTCAGATATGAACCAGCGTCTCGTCGCACCAAGTAGTAGCAGTAGTAGTCAGAAATGGGGCGCACCTTGGAGTAACCTAACCCCTTCAACCTGGTGCTCCCTCTGTGGGCTCTTCACTAACCCCCACGCATAATTGAACTTGGTCTGTACAGAGACGTATGCGGACCCCTGCTCCTTTTCGTACTGGAGCTTCAGCACCTGCGAGTGATAAGTTCATCTAAAGCCAGGAGGTTCGATGAGGAGAAAAATGCTCACTTCCAACTCGTCGTATGTGAGGGAGATTTCTGCGTCTGCAGCGTATGGAACTTCAGTCGGCATGTTGTTGATATCTTCCGGCCGCGTACGAGGCTGTGCTGTTACGTAATGCCCCTCAGTAATATTGGCGCTGTTGTCCATCTCTCTGGGAATAACAAGGATGGCCGGCCACTATACCGATAACAGTAGCCAGGGGGGCGATTGCGAGAAAACTCCGAGAAGTATTGAATTTTACCGCTACTAGGGCAGAGTCCGTGAATCAGGGAACGCCCTTATCGTCCGGATACCATTCATGCAGAACGCTTGGCAAGACTTATGAAGATCCTTATCAACAGTGAAAAACGAATCGGCAAACAGACAGATTGTCATGATTATGTATTATCTGGAACATGAAGTTGTCGTCATTTCCATTATGGTCCGATTACAGGTAGTCGACTTTGCTAGTATGGACCAGCCCTTCGGGCAGTGGATTTTGGGCAGGGAAAACAACAAGCAAAGTTACCAATTTCCAACAAGAGGGGGGTGGGGAGGTGTGGGTATTTGAAGATATGAAAAGGCGTGGAGGTGGTTTGTTATTGCACGCGTCCACATCGAGAAGCGAAAAAGTAAAAACGAAGATACACAACCCTTCCTAGATATTGACCTGGTCGTCATCCCTAATAACGAGGCACGCGGATGGGGATTAACAAGGCGTTCACAACCTGAGGACACAAAAAAAAAAAAAAACAAGGGTGTCAGAAACTCCTCTCTCTCTCTTTTTTTTTTTAACGGAAAGAACTGCGGAGGAAACCTACAATTGCTATGATCCCAGAAATCCAAAGAGCCTTCCCAAGTGGTAATGGCTGGAAACGGAAGATAAGGGCGAAGAAGATCCCGCCCATGTTACCGAATGCCCCCACTATCCCAGACATGAACCCGTTAGAGTCTAAAACAAAGGGAAAGAAGGGGAGGGGGGGGAGGGGGGCGAAATTCTTAGTCGCCACCTTTTATTAGTCTGCGCGTAGAATGAAAAAAACGTACAAGCATTGCAGTGAGGGACGAGTGAAAAGTTGGCACCGTTGCCCATCTCGTTGGGAATGACGAGGATGGTCAGTATAGCGATGACGGTCGTCAAGTCAGGGTGCTTTGTCGAATCGATGTAAAATCCCATGGCCAGGGACAAGACCCTTGGAGAATGCCGCAAGCCAAGGTAAGGTACTTCTTCCCAGGCACGCCAAATCTTCTGTACACGACATCGCCAAGATAACCACCAAACGGACGTGTCCACACGTTCATCAGCCCAACAATAGAAGTAAACTAATTCGTAAGAAAAAAATCGTTTTTATTATGTAAGTTTCCAAACGTTTAGATCGGTGTGTAGAACTGCCCATACATATCCAGCTTTGGTTTGGCCAAAATGTGGAGACTTGTAGAGCGAAAACAAGATGTTCGCCATGCTCGAATCGAGAGCCAGCTCGAAACCGAAAGTGGTGAGATAGGCTAATGCGGGCAGCCATGTCAATGGGTTAATTGCAATTTCCAGTGCCATCTTGGACGTGAGGTTTTGGTTTATAGCCACATCCACTTCCGAGACTGGGTGATCACCAAGGAAGTCGAGGACATGAGGTTGAATCGATCTCGAATAGAAATGACACAAACAACATAAGCGACTTACTTGGTGGCACGGACAGATCTTGTACGTGAACAGTGGCACCCTGCTCTGCGTCCAGATGCTTCTCCCCCACGACTCCATCTCTGCTGGCGCCTGTAGTGACTTCGAGACTGGCAATTGGCTTATGCCTTTCAGACCACTTCCCCTTGGGGTGATCGGTGCCAAATACGAGGGTGAGGACGGCAACGAAGAGTAAAGCAGGCACAGGAACGATAGCGAACGCAACACGCCATGCGGAGTGGGGCGATAAGCTGTGGTGTCTCGTTAACCGGGAAAAAAGCGCCACCTGACGTTGTGGGACGTGATGAATTGAGGCCGATCTTCTAAAATGGAATGCTTACCATGATAACGAACGTTGTTCCTCCTCCTGCATTACCCCATCCACCGACGAGAGCGTTGGCTCTACCGACGCAGTTTTTGTCGAAGAATGCAGTCGTCCACGCTTGACCTACGAACGGCCAATATATATCGAGGATTCCATCACGGCGACTAATTGTAATTAGTGTGCTTACAAGGGACGAATGTTCCTCCAAGGATACCGATGAAGAACCGAACAGCATATAAACCCTGCACTGAATGGACAGTACCAGCAAGTCCAGATGGAATGGCACCGAGTATGAGAATAGCAGCCATCACTTTTCGGGGACCGAATCGATCGACCAACGGCCCGGCTATCATGCGCACAATGAGCGTAGCGCTCAAAGCCACGATATTGGAGTTCCCTGGGGACAAGTCAGAAAAAAACAAGCCAGTTGGTCATGGTGAATCCAGCGAACCAACTTGTGCAGACGTAAGCTTTAGATCGGCCTTGATAGCTTCCGGCACTGTCAACAGATGGATAGATCAGTTGACGATCGAACAAGAGCTAGCACGCCAATAATGCCTACGTAGTGGTGGGAAAGCGAACCACGACAAGAATGCGACATGGAACGCAAGCCAGGATCTAAGCAGAGTCGATGAACGAACAGTAAGCCAAATGGCTCTTAGAGTCGATACTCACAAATGGAAGTTGCGTGCGTAGGGCGACTTGAGATTGAAGATTGGAAGAGTGTAGCTCTTCAAATTGATAGGATTCAATTTCTCGCGTTCCCAAAGACTGCTGAATTTGAAGGGAGGAGGTCCGTCCGTCTCCAGCTGGGCATGTGGACTTGCGACTACATTCTCGGACTGTGGTGAAGTCTCCGGAGCCATGGCGAGGGAGAAATCGTTTGGGGGTTGTAAAAGGTCTTCCTCGCCACCTTATAAAAGAAGACTTTGCTATTGCAGAGTGATAAGAAATGTTGGAGAGAGGGTCGAGAACTATCCAATCCCTACCGATGGGGACTAGTACGATCGTCGCCATTGAGACACCGATCACACTGAAAAAAAAAATATCATCAGATTTGACTTAAATAAAGGGGCGGGAAGAGAATATGAACACATGGATAAGTCCAATTTATGCTCAAAGACTATAGAAAGGTTCGTCTCTACATAATCTGATCTTCCCAGAAATTTTGTCGTGCCCGGTGATAAATCCGCATGGAGTCAAAGTTGTTGAATCATCGAAGCCAAGAATCAACATGGTACTTGAAACCGGGCCCTTCCGGAGGAGTTGTACAAACACATCCTTCCATTCTAGATATAATAAATTGCCATGACCGGCTTGGATCTGTTTATTCCAGGTTAGTTGAGACAAATTCGTATGCTGTTTAGTTCTTATCAGTGGCTAAGTAAGCAACAAGTTTTGCTCCCTTCGGTTCTCTGCAGAACACCCGGATGAGGAAAGTAGTGCCCCATAGATAAGGGGACCTAGTGGCCAGTGAGGAAATCCTGCTAGCCTGCAGATCCCCCTATTTGAGCTTTGGCTCGATGTCGGCTGCTGCGGATTGTTGATGACGTTGGGGGGGGTGACCGAAACAAGCATAGAGTCCTTCGCGCTTGGCGAGTCAAGATATGGATTGAGATCGTTGTTATCCGTGCTCTAGGTCAAGACCGAGCGGTTTCTCAATGGAAACCTATTGCAAGACATGGCATTGAGGTGCTGCCGTGCTTACCATGTCGCCCCAAAGATTTTTGGCGCATAGGGTCAGAAAGCTGTATCCTACAGACCAGGCACGTCCCCAGCCTGTATGCAGCAAATGGGATAATTGAAAACAAAATGGCGATCTTCCTATTTACATAAAATAACAAAATCCCCATTTTGTTTTCAGGAGGATCATCATCAATCAATTTCGACATTGAAGAGATCGTAGTCGACATAGCTGTGGCACAACCGAATGGGAACCGATCTTTCCCGCCGGCCTTGGCATTACAGTATAGTAAAAAGCGACCCCGATGGCAGGATGATGATAAGCTTTTTCATTTAGAAAACTCCAGATGAAGAGCAAGGTGATAACGTGAAGAGAAGAGTGTTATCAATTTCAATTCGCGTGTAGCCCATCGTAGGTTTGTTTACCGCCCGCTTGTTCCATTTGCGATCTTCAGAGGCTGTGAGTCAAAGGGTCTCGGCAAGATGATAAGTTCGACCTGAGAGTATTCGTCCTCCTTCATCCAAGTAATGAGGGGATTCTTAGATATGGCAATCCGCTACTCAGTGGCTACAACTCGCGATCGACCAGAAGTAATTAGTTAGTAACAATGTTGCTCAACGCACGTCTGTTGCGCTGATCGTTATATATGTATCTGGGTGGGGTGACGATAATACAGATTCGACATTGCTTGCAGAATAACTTTCAGACTTGATCGTGTCAGAGAAACCGGTTTCCTGGAACGCGATTCGCTCATCGTCGCTAAAACCTCCACGCAATATCACCATTTTGCTCGAGGGAGCGTGTGCATGTAAGCTTAGCTAGGCTCGGCGGTTCGATTACATTGCGCCAAACTCAAACCTTGCCGGTCCAGGACACGTCAGTGCCAAGTAGCAATATCCGATCGATGTTCTTCCGGCTTTTCTGGTCCCTTTTGATCTGGCTCTCTATTTCTTCATTTTACTTCGCGGGGGACACGCCATTTAGGTGAGATACCCCCAAGTTGGTGCCGGGATAACTGACTGGTGGCGTTGGCATCCGGTTCATTGTAGAATATGGATAAGACAGATCCTTCAAGGCGGGAAATGAGACGGCGTGGATCCCAGAGGGTGGATGAAGATCGAGCAAGCAGAACGCTCACGAGCCCTTGAGGCAGGGGGTTACTATTAAGTGTATGGACGGCAATTCCCTGTCCTCTCCGTGAGCGAGACTTACAAAGTTCAATCTTGCTGACCGATAGATGACCCAAATCTAATCAAGCACGACAAGAACAGCCGGGAATGAGAATGAGCATGAGCAAACGGACCGAGATACAAAGATCTTTTGAATGTGCCCCCCCCCCCCAATGCAAGTTCGACCAACCAAGCAATCATGCGCGCTTACGCTATTAACTTCGCACAGATCCCAACATGCAATGGATTGACGTACGTCACCACAAAGTACTGTAATGCCAGATCATCAAAGCTAGGACATAACCAGGTGTTGTAGGAGTTGCATGCCGATCCCATTGGTAACAAACATTCTTCAAGCTACGCAGGAGGACATGGATGAAGAGCACTACTACAGTATAGGTCGGGGGATCGAAGATTGCATTAGTTTCTAGGCGGAAGCCCGTGGAGACCAACAGCAACATTATACGCGTCTGCCACCAGCACTTACAACATGCCCCCCTGTTAAAAGGGGGCTTAGTGGCGAAACTCGGTCGGCGACTCCTCTTATCTTCTTTCAGCGTAAATGCACGCCACAACATCGCTCTCCAACAGACTCTTCATTCGCCGCCAATCAAGTTACCTTGCCTGGTTTCGGTGGGTAGTTGTCTGGGTATACGAATGGATTGATAAAAGTTCTGATTGTCATGACTATCTCCTGTAATTACCAGCTTGCAGCTATTAGGTCTCCATATCTACTTAACAAACTACTGAACAGCGACGTACAATTACCCTCTAAGCTCGATAGAAAGAAAGAACCCAGAGGTGGAGAAACAAAAACAGTGTCGAACTACAAAGGGCTCAACAGACAACAAGGATGATTTGTTTTTAAAGAAAATGAAAGAAACACTAATCGAGCGATATTGAAATGGGGAAAAGTCAAACATCGGCTAGCGAGGAAATGTAGAGAACAGGAATGGCAGGGAACAGAAACGGTGGCACACGCGTTTGACAAACAAAAGAAAAAATAATAGATGCGAGGAAGGGGGCCAGCACCCTTCTAATCCAGCGTAAGAATCGGAAATGGAGAGAAGAGCGGCATCGGAAGGGGGATTATGGATGGCAGCAGTGGAAGGAGATGGCCGCTCAGATCGGCGCTTCTTCTGGCCTCGGCAGTGCGTAAGCCAAGTCTACGCTAGGCACGAGAAAGGAAACAAAAAAGCAGAGGGGAGAGGGATGGGACAAGAGCGTGACTATTACAACACTATCTGAGTGAGCTGAGTGATGGCGATGGCGAAAGCAAGCGAATGGTAAAGTCGATGACTCGACGAGCGAAGTGCGTGTGTGTGTGCGCGCGCAGTACCATGGTCAATCTTGTCCTGTCATGAAAAATCGGTCATGAAAGCTCGAGAGGGAGCCGATGAATCGACGAATCGAGTCGAGGTCCAAATTAGCGGAGTGGTTCTTCCGTCCCTCGTCAAGAGGTAAGAGGTGTAGTTGATTTGTAAAAGTGGGATAGGAAAGCAAAGGGGGCGGAACGAGAATGGTTCGATTTCCAACCCCGAAAGCAAGCCAAGCCAAAAAAAAAAAAAAAAAGAAAAGAAAAGAAAAGGGAAGATTAATCACTGATAAACTTGCAAACTGTTAATCTTCCAAACCGCATTCTTCAAGTTGCCCGGATCCCTCACTACAGCGGCACAAGCAGCACCCCCACCCTTATGCGCCGCATCTGCCAGATCGCCACAGAGCGCGATATTGAACGTGATCGCATGACCCTTGAAATGCTTCTGAATATCGCATGTCGACGAAGCCCAATGAGCTCTGAGGAACTTTTTGTCCCACGAGTTTGGATTGGGCGTTTGGCTTTTCAAGTCGCTCGGCACGTTATCTGGTGTGAATCGCCAAATCCGGATGGCATGAGAGTCCCAGAGCATGGCAAAGACACCTCCCCCGGCATTTTTGAGTCCTGTCCCGTATGAGGTATCCTCCGAATCGCGGAAAGCACACCCCTCATTACTGTCTTTCGTGGAACCACATTGTTTATTGCCCACGTTCCCGATGAGAGCCTCAGAAAGGACAGAGGGGGACGTATCAATGGCGCATCCGGGACCGGTATGAAGCGTGTATTGATTTCGGGTGGCCAGGTTCGCACCTTCGATAATGTCGATCTCGCCATTGTGCGGCCAACCCTTGCCGACGGTCCAAAATGCAGGCCAAACTAATCCAAGCAGTGTAAGTTGATGAATAAAGATCAAAGAGAAAAGGAAGGGAATTCCCAAAAACAAAATGCAAGGGGAACGTAACGTACCCGAGTCACCATATGGCATGGAACCAATGTCCAGAACAAACAAACCTCCACCATACCGCTTCTTAGTGGCGATGCGAACACTGTCACGCTTCCCATGTCGCAGCTTGTGGCCAGGAGTGGTATCGTCGACCTTCATTACCACAACACCATTATCAACATACGCAAGGCGCTTCTTCATGGCGTCCGTACGGCCAAGGTAATTGACGAGACCATGAGTAGGATCACTAATGGACAGATGTGTATTGCGTTGCGGTCAGTGTTCGGAAGGACAAATGCACAATCACTGGACAAAAGGGAAAAAGACTTACCGGAGGTTGAAGAAATCAAAACCGTCAAAGAAATTATTGCCATTATACATATCGATAAGCTTGTAAGTACCGCCATTCTTGGGGTTCTTTTGTGCGGCGATATGACCCTGGTAAGTGTCGGTGGTATTGTCGGCAGGTTTGGATGGAGTGGACTTGGGAGCAGTGGAAGAAGTGGTAGGAGTGACAATTCTAGTCTCGTTTTTGCCCTTCTTGGGGCCGCAAGGACCAGGTGGCACAGAAGAGCGCTTATATGGGTGTCCATACAAATTGCGGTGATGATGGCGGCGCTGAGGAACAACTTGATGTATGCGTTCGCTGAGACCCGCGTAGACAGGAGAAAAAGAAGCAAAAATAGCAATCAAGAACAAGAGAGCCGATGCAAGCATGATGGCGAACAGAAGACGTAGAAGAAAAGGAAGTAATCAAGGCAAACTTAAGGCTAGGCTGTAAATAACGAGTGAAGCAAATCGACCAAAGCGAAGGGAGGCGCAGAGAAGACGAGAATGGGGTCCACAGGACGGAAGTGAAGAGGAGAAATGAACGAACAAAAGAGGCACCACGGTTAAATACATTTGTGGGTTTCCCGATGTACGCTTGTTTTGCTTCCAACAACTGAGTTGAGTCGTTGACTACAATGGGAAGTAGAACGGAGTAACGATCGATCCCGTGCGGGCCACGGCAAGTCAAAGATTGTCGTAAAGTGGCATTGTTTCTTGATTGTCTCAAAGCATCAAAGCACAGTCCCAGCTCGACCTCAGCCCGCATTGACCTTGCTGGGATAGAATGGCATTGGGCGGACCTCCTAAACCTTTCGCAGGTTGCGATTCTGAAAGGAGGTGTGAGCTTATTCCTTTCTTGGCCGTGGAAACCCGGCGGTTGTCCACGCACGCTTCTCCGCTCATCTTATCATCACTTGCTCAAGTGCCATGATACAGTATCCATCCTCGTGTATTCTTCCCCATTTTTTCCCCTTCCTGTCGTTCTCATTGTCTGGTCGAACAGATGGCAGCATTCCATCACAACTGCCCAACTCAACAATCCACCGGCTTTGATCATCAACCTCAATTCCGTCCGTACTCGTAACTTAATGTTAAACTCGGCTGCTTCCTCGCGGGTGTGGTACCCAAGTTCAGCAATACCGACTTGTATGACTAAGGCCAAGACCATCCTTCATATATATGTCCACATAGGGCAACAATCTGCCAACCTATGCGCTGCCAATCACCGGCACTGCTCTCCTTCAGCATCATCCCACGAGACTCCCCACCCGTTATAAACTTGTCCTGCATGCGGCCACGGTCACCGCCTTCAAAATCCGGAGCAAACTAATCCAACACAACACTCGACAGAGCCAAGATCGATGTGACCGCCAAGCGATCAGATTTTGAACGGCCCCCTACCCCCTAATCGTGGAAACAGCCCCACTGAACTGACCCCAATGATGAACACCTCAGCCGGCCTATGCTGCTAGGCCGGTACCCGAACATATTATGGTCATGGAGAGTCATCAGCTGTGTAGCTCAAGCCGGATTCTCCGGTCCGCAGTCTCATTATCTTCATCCCTCTTGTTCATGGGATTGCAGGGTTGGAAATAAATAATAATAATAAAAAAGACTCTCATTAAAGCCACGCACATGCGCCGCTGTCCTATCCTGTCCTGCGGTTCGGTGTTTGCCGTCCCTCTGCTTCGATCTACATCTGCTTGACAACTTCAGGACCAGTCAATGATATGTCCGTGCTGGCAATAGCACTATCAATAGCTTGAACCATGTTTATCAGAGCCATGCCTAACTCGCCCTCGTTCTCGCTGAACCTTTCATAGCTGTATATCGTGCAGTGATCTCAGAAAGGGCACTTTGGCATTTAATTCCTCGCTATCTTTTATTGGTGTATTAGTCTATCGGGACCACTTTTATCCCGTCCAGTGAAGTTGAACAAGGGACTACTCGATTCCGCAGGGAGACTGCGTGTACAATATACACTAGATACCAACATCTAACTGTCGCATCTCTGCTCGACGCGTATAGTAGTCATGCTCTGTTCTTGGTTATCGGATCTCTCTCTCTCACACATATCCCTATCGATGACCAATGATATTACGCGCATCTGGAACCACGTACCTAAAGCATAAATTAGTTCCCAACCTAAGCTTCTCTCTTCACACACAAGTAAGCGATCAAAAGTCATCACAGCGTCACGAGGCACTTGATGTTACGCGCGCGTCAACCCGGTATGCCCATGATCAGTGATGAGCATGTACAGCAGTTATGCACAAGTAACAGGATTCGCACCACTATGAAATACTTTTTGCACGAAAATCAACATCTCATGAATTCTAATTTGCATCAAGGCGCACATTTCTGGCGACCATCCGTAGTCCTAAAACACCAGATCTACGAGGTCCAACTATGAACAAGATGCTGATCAGTTAGTATTCACCTGCGTTACGAGGACCGTCGATTAGGGATCCCAAGTGCTATGTTTTCCCCTCTTTTTGCTCCCATTATTGCTTACAGCAACACGTCTCCACAGGTCATTCCGGCTGTTACTCTGCTCTATTTTTGTTCTGTCCTAGTCTTCCCATGCATTGAGATGTGTTCATGCGTGCACGCATATACATATATCATCCGTATGTGTATCATTTCAGTGTCCAAACTAGTACTTCGATCGATCCAATGTACAGTCGTAGGTTTGTTATTATGTAGCTGGCTACCCGTGTACAACGTCCATAACAACTTTATGATTAAATTACTCGATCCAACCGCAGAGGTGTCCACATACAAACAACAAATCCTTCTAAAATAATGTTGTACATTAAAGCTAGTATTGATCGGCTAAGTTCGGTCATCACCACAAATAAACGAAAAGAACATGAAAGATATACGACGAAAGTGGGGGAAATGCGGAACTTCAAATGGACGACATCGTCTCAAGAGAAAAAACTAAAGGGGGAAACGCCAAAAATGGGGAATACGAACATAAAAGGGGAAACTACTTATGATGTGTGGAAAGTTTTGGTTACCGAAAAAAGTCCTCCAGGTGCGTGCACTTCACGCTACGTTCAATCGGCAGTCCGTGCTGTAACGTTGTAAATCCGAAACGAATGATTACTTGTAAGAGTGGGGGAGAAATTTTCATCCGGGAAAATGGAGCTGATATTGTATCGCCACAAAGAAAATAAATTCGGCCAGCTCCGCTACACTGCAGCTAAGGTAAGACATACAAGCCGCTCATTGGCTTGTATATCTTACCGGAAGAAGCTTTGCAGCAGCACCAACACGTGGTCATTTTGACTCAGTCCTTTACACGTGTTGCCAAACCGTCACGTTCCTTACGTTCCAAACGGCCTCCTGGAAATTCACAGGATCCGCAACACGTTCACTGCACGATTGACCGCATCCCATCGAAGTGTACGCAGCCCCTGCCCAACCACCACAAATCGTCATATCAAACTATTCATAAAAGGATAATGAGCAACTCCGCCACTCTTCACAGCCATAGCAAAAATCCAAGGGTATACTCACAATAAGCTGCTGATTTTGAATCGTATCCTTGGTCTGACAACTGTCACTAGTAGGGAAGAACGCAGAAGGGGTACCCCAACTATCCGGATTGGGATTTCCAGCGGTCACATCCGAAGGTACGTTCGCCCTCTGGAACCTCCACAACTTCGTCCCCACATTCTGATCGATCAACAACGCAAAGACCGCTCCACCCGCTTCATTAAACCCATGACCAAACGATTGAGGAGAGGGATCTTGATAGGCGCAGCCTGAGTTGGCGTCTGGCGACGAGGCGCAGGTTTTAGACAGAAAGTTGAGCGCGACATCGGAAGGTTTGACAGAGTTAGTGTTACAGCTTGTGGAAGAGCCGCTAAATATGAATGTAAGAGGAAGCAAAAAAAAAGGCGTTAACATCCACGGGACAGTGCCAGAGAAAAAGATACGTACGTATGAAGGGTCATTTGGTTCATCGTTGAATTATTAACTCCTTCAATGATGTCGATCTCTCCCTCATTAGGCCAATCATACCCCACAGTCCAAAGAGCAGGCCAAATACTACACCCAAAAGGCATGCGCACAATATCAAACAACATCAACCCCTGATTATACGTATTCGTCGACGAGATCCTGACCGAGTTCCTATTTGCGCCCGCTGCCAATTGAGTCGTTGAATCGATTTTCATCACGGCCAGTCCGGTCGCTTGGTCGACGTATGCCAGGCCGCTCGACAGGGCATCGTCTTTGGAGACATAATTGACGAATCCATTTGTGGGATCTGCGCCGGTGAAGAAGGTCCATTTGTCGAAGAAGGATGAACCCGAATGTTCTTCGACAAGCCGGAATTCGGACCACGCGGGGGTACGTGACGGAGAAGTGGGGGCGGCGGGGATGGCGGAGGTGGTGGTGGCGGCGGGGGCGGAGGTAGCGGGAGTGGTGGAGGATGACCCAAGGCTTGTAGGCGAAGGCGAAGGCGAGGGTGAGGACGAGGATGACGATCCGCTCTTTTGGAAAAGAGTTAAAGCCCAACAGCCACCACATTTCTGGCTCGCATCCCCATTACAAGCCAAATCACACTGACTGGCATTCAAACTTTGTCCAACAACTGCCCCTTTGTTCAAACTGTTCCCACACCAGCATTCTTGTCCATATTGAACACCAGCAAAATTAAAATTTGCCGAATCACACGCGGAAAGGCACGTATCGACGGTCACATTATTTAGGTTGCTTTTCGTCGAAAGCAGACGTTGAGTTCCATCTCCATCTTGCACGCATGAGTTTGCGAGGGTCCAGATTGAAGGCAAGTCCGCTCGTAACCTGTGACGAGGTTGAACGGAGAGGATGGAACCGGGGGATAATGGACGTGCGGAGACGGTGGTATCGGTTGTAGATAGAAGAAAGCCAAGCGCGAGCAAGAGAGAGCAAGTTGTGTACATGGTCAGTTGGATCGGGGAAAATGTGTTGGGCTGGCCGATTCGCGTTTCGCTGGTAGGCTTGAAGAAAAGAACGCGAACTAGAGCGGGCGCAGAAAAGACAGAGGGAGGTGAAGAACGACCAAGAGCTAGCTTGGCCAGTTATAATAGTGAGAGAGAAATTAAAGAAAACCAATGACAAGCAGTGCGACAGAGTGGCAGAGACCAAGCGAGATGACCATGATTTATTGCTGGCGATTATCCTAACAACCAACAAAATAATATTTTGCCACATCAATTGAATCGAATACAACAAGTCACCACGTACGGTACCTGAGTGGGCCCCTAGGACCCATTTGCCTACTCTCACTCACCCACCTCCCTCGGTTCCACTCGTCCGTCATTTCCCCCTTACTTGCAGATCATACACGACATAGAGGATTTCCCGTTGGCAGTTCTCACAGAATCTCACCCAAGTATGGTATCCGGAGGTAACCGGAGAAGCCGCCATGCGTAATTTAATTTATTTATACCATGGCAACTCGATCTCATCTATTCAACCCATCGTGAAGGCGACGAAGATGGTGGTTCGTAACAAAAAAAGGATAAATATTGTACATAAAGGTGAAGAAGCGACCACACGGCTTGCCCACCACTGGGCGAAGTCGGTTGGCTGTGTGCATCCGGAATTAAGCACAAAACAACCTATGCCCCCCTACGCCGGTGACGTGACTGGCAGCTGACAGCGCAATGTGGTCCGTGCATCAAAGCTGACACTGGCAGGGGGCATTTTTACAACTGAAAAACACTCACAACATCAATTTGGCACTGCAATTCCGCTGTCCCATCAGGCAGGCCCCCGACGGTACCCGGGGTATGTAGGGTATTCGTCTCTTGACGACGGAAGAACGAATGTAGTGTGTAGATTCAATTTCTCTCCTAATTCTACAGTAACTCAAATCCCTTTTGTAAAGGTAGCACCCGGATTTGTGAATATTATGTGGTGGATTCTAGATGCCAGGTACATACATAAGACAATCTCAAGATTACTTGGGCCTGTACCCGCACTCAGTCCCGTCCCCGCCTCTGGATGTCACGTTGCACGTGCGATTGAGTGTACAACGACGCGCGTCCACGTATGGTTCCTGCAGCACATATTAGTTGGGCAGTGGACCAGATCGGGGTGTTGGAAACGCCGTTATTCTTAGCGCCACTCGCGCATCATGCCCAGGACGCTTGATCGGACTCAGATAGCCACAGCTATTGCATTTGCGCGGACATGAACCAGCGGCCGGGCAATTGTAACACCGGATTTGACAGGAAACTGGATACGCGGTGTCGTCCCGGCCGGGGGTGCACATGCGATGTGTGCATGTGAAATTGCTGGCTGGATGCGGGGTATAGGTACAGCCAAGCCGGCCTACGCGTCAGTGCGGGGTTAATTCCGATGGCTGTGGAGGCACTCTGCTCCAACCGGCACCAGGGCACGAATCGATCTGTTTGTGATAGGAGGGTGTGAACTATGCTCCTTCCATTTATGCACCGACCACCGCTAGCTGGCTTACTTATGCATGCTGTGTAGTGCATCTGACGGTACAACCCGAAAACGTAGAGACACTGGCATAGTTCATACTCAACCATCCATCAGAGAAAACATATTTGGCATAAATATACACACGTTCTAACCAGAGCGTCAAGCTGGGATCTAAGGGCCATGAAGAAGCTGGTACATAGTGAGAGAGGAGAAAAAAGTGACAATGATTCGATACAACAGAGCAACAACAACATATTCGAAAAAGCTAGAAAGGGGTCAGAAAAACATAGGAAGAAAGCCATGCCGGAGGTTGAAAAATCGTGGTTAGAGACAGACATATCAGATGGTCAGGACACGTCATAGAACAGCGATGCGATCGTCTATGTACGACATCATGATTGACCGATCAGCGAGGCTAGTATGGTGTGCATGAAGAGAACCGAGTAAGTCCCCCCGCGAAGCCGAACATGTCATGAAAAGGGTGAGGTGCATTGTGGGATCGCATAACTTCTGTGGTGAGGGCAGTGACTGGTTGTTGAACCTTCGAGTAAATAAACCGGAACAGGATGAGACGCGCGTATGGAGCCAGTGGGTGGTGGTGACGAGGGAGCTTGGTGGGATTACAATGGATTTGCAAGCGATCCTGGTCAATACTCGTCATAATGACCGGAGTCGCTTCATCAGATCAAATAGGGTAGTCGAAGAAAGCAATTGGTCGACTTCGACGCTATAACCCATACAAAGGATAAAGGTCAGCGAGTTATCGTTGATAAACTTTCAGCTCCTTGCCTCCACTACGTCCAACGCCGCTATCGTCGAACCACCGCAGGGCGCAGTACTGTTATGGTGTTTTTCCTTTGTCGCAAGGGTCTCAGAATTAGATGTAGATGCAGGAGATCCAAATCCGAAAAAATGACAAAAGGCCGCAAAGGAGGATGTGGGACTCATATCACGCCAGGAAAGATGTAGTGGTGATAGAGGGGCAAGTTGGAAGTGCGTGTGGTGATACCGGTACCGTAGTGCTTGATTGCTTGATCAGAGTTGGATCGATGTGGCTTTCGCAGGTGATAAGCACTGGGAGTGAGGAGAGGGTCCGATCGTTGCACTCAAATATCTTCGAGCACAGAAGTGGGTTTCTACTAGCCGGAGAGGGGTTTGGCCATGGGCCAAAACTCTTTATGTATAACCTCACCAAGAACAAAAAGAGGGTGTTGCTGATTGACTTGCGTGACATTTGCAAACCAAGCAATCCGAGTAGTCTCGGTCCCCGTCAGTTTCAAATAAACGCAATGTCACTAAACAGAACGCATAGTCATCATCGACGTGAAAACGCAAAGGGAAGAAACGGCAGGGCAATATTTGAACAATCCTATACAGTTATCTGGTTCTGAACGGAAATTCATTCCGAGAGCGGGAGATGTAGGTCCGTTGAACGAGGGAGATTAATTGGTGGGGAGCAATAGAGGCCCGTACCGTAGCAAGCCGAACATCCTTACATAGTCATAGAAGAGGTGGAGCTTGTCACCGGGACCTAGACGTAATTGATCGGCCTAGCATAAACGTCACTCCGAAGGTCCTCGTGATCGGAAACTGGTCTCCGGAGTCAGACGTCTTGTTTCCCACGCTCCATATTGCGTAAGGTACTGTGCACAGACACATCGCACTGCTCAAGCCTGTACGCTACGGTGTAAAGGGCTGGGATAGCTGTATTTCCACGTGACAACGAGGCGCGGGGTAATAAGAAAACGCATTGCCACGCTGTCCAGTTGGAGAGCCACAAGCAGCAAGAAAGGCAGTTGCGCCTTGAAAGGCACGTAGGCGATCTCCGATTGTCAATGCCAGTTGTATTCATGTAACTGATTGATCCCTTGCGCGTACACGCGTGTCATCGCTCGGTTGTGGCAAGCATTAGTGCTTTCGCCACGTTGCTTGTATTACAGTGTCTGTAATGCAACTCGGTAATTGAGATGTGGTGAGTACTTATGCTGTGATTTTTTGAATGTTGGCTCTGCAGTTGAAGATAATCACAAAGCACCAGCTGCCCCTGTACCCGCTCACAGCTTCAACTACAATAGCGTTTTCTGGCTGTGTCCCCCATGCAGTTCTGATGGACATTGATTTCGTATAATCAACTTAGCTCGTGATAATCTGGTCATCGATAACATCCCTATCTCAGATCGATGGGTATCAAGCCGTTTAATGTACGACACCCCTCTACAACCAACTGAACCCTCCGGTGGCTAAGGGGCTTACATGAGAAACTGGATCCAGGCAACTTGATCTTGCCCTTTTGCCATAGCTCGCCTTTCCTCCCCTCTTCTCATTATAAAGCTTATATCTATAGGCTCAACAAGTGCCTGAACCCATTTGGGGAAGATCTCAAGCTCACGTTGGCATGCTGCGAACATTATACCTCATCGTTTCCCTCCAGCCCTTCAAAAGAAACTCCTTCCCCGATGTTTCGATCGATTGACATATGTATGACGGTGCTGAAGGCGGTCTTGCGTTTATTGCTCAAACTCCATAGAGAGATATCCAATAAGCCTGGACCTAGAAGTCCCCTCCATGGGGATGGGACTACAAGGATGTGTCCCTTGTTATCATGTCGTAGTTTTAGCAGTGCTCGGTTCGTTAACAATGACTGGCGATCTTAAATTGTTTCTACTCAGATATCACGAGAAAAAACCGGGCAGTGTCTATGCCGACACCCTTGCAAAGAGAAAACGCATGGGAATCACAGCGGGCACTTGGGGATGGGAAAGTAAGGCCTGCAGCTTATCCCCTCTGCCAGCGTCCTTACTGCTTGACTATATATGGGTCATAAACTATGAGAGAAAGCTCCGACGTCCATTCATGCTAAGTGGGCGCCAAAACGTGGGATTCACGTTGAACTTTCCCACGCTTCAGTCTCCAGTTCCCTCTATCCATATCATCGTCCGCGATCCGCCAATTCACTGACTTTCTGGTCGTCAGTGATAAGCGATGAGTCTAGGGGTTGTGGTTCCTCCCATAGCCCTTCGCACGTCACCGTTCGCTCACTATAACGTTGCATGGTCACCTTTCCACGCTCACCTACTTGCACTCGCGTCGTCTGCAAATTATGGGCTGATTGGAAACGGGAGGGCACATCTATGTAGCCTCTCTGGTGCACCGGCACCTATCGTACCGGCTGCAGGAGCTGACGGTCGGGAGTTAAGATTGGATAAGTTGTGAGCTGATGCGTGGGTTCTGGGTAGCTTTCAGCCCACTTAATGTGATGCACTCCTTGTAACAGCTACAAAACGCAAGATGGGTTATACGATCTTGCGTGGTCTGAGATACATGAGAATCAACTCGTAACAGCTTCGGGGGATGGCTCATTGAAGTTATGGGATATAATGCTCAATGTATGTTTAGGCTTTTGGCATTTTCAATTCATCACCTTTCGCTTGATTTGGTTTATAGCTAATGGAAGGGATTAGTAATAACTTTCCTGTTATTTCGTTACTAGGACTTACCGATTCGCGCATGGCACGAACATTCAAGAGAGGCGTTCAGTGTTGATTGGTCAAATATAGACAAAACAATCTTTGCCTCTTCATCTTGGGACGGTTTAGTGAAAATTGTAAGCTTCATCTTGCTTTTTTCATTGACATCAGTGGATTGAACGTTAATGTAGTGGACAACGGAACGCCCAACTTCAATTCAGACTATTGCTGCGCACCAATCTTGCGTTTACCAAGCTATGTTCTCTCCTCATACCCCAAACATCATCGCCAGCTGCTCGACAGATGGATCAATTAAAATCTTTGACCTTCGCACAGCAGGCTCAGGTCCACTTCCACCACAGTCCTCGATCCCGAGCGCTGTACCGCCGGCGCCTCCACCAGGGTCCAGTGTCCCATCTATCGTCATCCCTGCGCATCCTGCTGCTGAAATCCTTAGCATTGACTGGAATAAGTACCGACCATGGGTGCTCGTGAGCGGGAGTACGGATAAAATGATCAAAGTGTGGGATGCACGAAACGTTAAGCCTGTTGCTAATGGCCCGCAAGTTGGAGGAAATTGTGAAATTTCGTTACACGGACATGAGTATGCTGTTCGAAAAGTGCAATGGAGTCCACATCGTGCGGATCTGATTGCAAGCGCGGGCTACGACATGACGTGCAGGGTGTGAGTATTCAAAACCTATGGTTCGCTGTCTCGTTGGGCCCCAAATCTGATGCTTCCCGTTTAGATGGTCGACAACTCCGAATGGGGCACACCCACCGCTCCGGACAATCCATGATAAACATACCGAGTTCGTGACGGGGTGTGCATGGAGTTTGTATGAGGAGGGTTTGTTGGCATCCTGTAGCTGGGATCACTCTGTTCATTTGTTCAGGCCGTACAACGTGTAGCCAAAGTGTATTGAATATATGTAATACGCCAGGCAGCATTTTGCACGGACTATCGGGGTCGGATTCAATGTCGTGACCGGTTAACACACGAGCATATGATATCAATCCCACCGACTCTGACATCATAATTGACACTAATGAGCGCGATCTAGTGACAAGGGAATTCTCTGTCAACAAGGTCGGTGACCTGGAAAAGCAGGGCAGACGCACTCAGAACGAATCTTGTGCATTGCATGTTGAGCTGTCAACTTGTGATTTAATGTAGGTATAATAGTTGTGAGCTATTGGCGGTGAATACTGGTTCCGCTCCACAGTATATATATGGAGCAATATCCATGATGTCACTTGGCATCCTCATTCCGCTGCGCACCTGCATCCAGCCAGAAAAGATAACCACTCTGCAGAGCTGACCTCAATATTACTCCCAAGCATAATAATGCCACAATCTACTCCCGCCCTTGCGCCAAGAAAAGACCAACGTGACGCTGAGGTATTGACGATTTGTGAACGTCATTAGGGCAACCCTTGTTTATGATGTGCGACAGAAACCTGATGAAACCGATACTGGTATTACAGCAGTCACTGACTTGCCAGGATCGAAGCAGGCTGAGCCGGCCACCCTCGACGTAGTAAATGCGCCAGGTCAATAATTACACTAACCCGGCTTGTCCGGCGAACCGGTATGAGTATTGACGCATTTATTCATTCTGCTCAGAGCCTCGTCAGCAAGGCGCCACACAGCCAGGATCTGGAACCGTCGTTGGTGCGGATGTTCAGCAGACGAACAATGAAAACCCATTCGGTGGCGACTTGCCCTTTAGTGAGCAAGTAAAAGCATGGGCTAAAATACACAGAGGAACGGTATGTAGTATTTGACGTCTATCCTCAACCACGGCTGATATCTTATCACCCGTCCCGACATCAGCTTCTTGGAAGGGTGCGCCTCATTTTTGTCTCGTAGATCCTCCATGCTGACGCATGCTTATTAAGACGGAGGAAAAGGAAACTGGAAAGAAGATTCTTGCCGGAGAAATCCCCCCCACCAAGGGGAATAAGTAATTCAACTTGGGTCTGTCTTGATCACTTGTACTTCTGCCACTATAGTAACACTATATCTCTCCCTCCAGAATTGTTGACAGAATGATCCAGTCGCGAACAGGATGTCTGGAATACATGTAACACAATTCAACTGATGTTAAAGCCAGATGACTGAAGAAAACCGAGATCCTCGAGAAAATATGTCCTGAATGCGGTGAAACCCCTGCATATCTGCTTGGAGGTAGATGTCATTCGTGGGCAGAGTTGATTCATCAAATCGTTGCATGCTTCGGCTCACGTATACTACCAACAAGATAAAGCGATACTAGGATGATGAGGAAAAAAAACGAAGCCACCGCAGCTTGTTGAGCTGCCGCTTTCTGTGATAATACTGTTCGAGGAAAAACTTGAAGTGACCGTTTTGCACTGGGAAAGACGCGGCGAAGTGAGTCGAACCGTTGACCAACGGAAGAAGGGGAAGAGTTAGAGGGTTGCCTCCCAAAGGCAAGAACTACACCAGCAACACGCTGAAGATGACCACAAGTGCTATGTAAGGACCAGACTGGGTACGAGTCTGTGTAAGGACCATTCGCGAGGATGCCAATCCAGTTGCGGACACTTTACTCGTGGGAACCGTTGGCCTTTCACAGCAACCTTCGGATCAAACACATCCAAATTGGCGATGCCTTTGTCAAACCCTAAATCGCGTCGCCAGGAATGCGTGTGGTCGTGTATCCACATAAAGTAGTGAGAAGTATCTGCCTCTGGGGAAGAGTCCACTAGCTCTGCCTTCACTACTTGTGCGAATCGATGTACAACTGCAAAATCTGTCTGGATGATGAAGAACTTATCAGTTCGCTCCCGTGTGGTATGTGGTCCCCTGCGCTACGGAAACTTTAGGATTCACTTTCCCTCTGTCTGTAACAGGACATATATTTGGCACGACGTGCATTGAAATACACCTCCGGATCACCCCTTCTTGCCCCTCTTGTCGTCGATCGTACACACCAAGGGATCTAATGCGTCTACACCCGGATTTCTTGCCTGTCGAACCAATAAAATCTTTGAAACCATTATCTCAGGACTTGAATGAACCATCTGTGGTCGAAGAGTTTTCGCGCACCCCTACTCCCTTACCAGACCTCATTCCAGTTTTCCCCTCAGATTTGGGACTGTCGCCATTATATAACACCCACAGTGGCCCTAACGAAGTTGGGCAGGGGGGCGAAGAGGAGGAGTCAATGCTACATGAAGAAGAGAATGCAATCATGCAAGATGTCGTAGCATCATGCCTCCCCTCTCCCAACGCGGTCGGGGGGTCCGGATTTGCATCGCAACGCGCTCCAGAAACAGAGGTAACTCGTCTGGAAGAAGCAGTCAAGGTGGGCTCGAAGCCACTGACTTCCACAAAACCTGTATGCTCATATTGCTTTTTATGTCGAAGACACATATACAAATACTGTCCAACGCCGTGAAGGACACTTGCTCTAGATTAAAGTATGCAACATTGATAAATGCTGTGCTGGAAGAGACGATGGACTACATCACTATCATGGAGGAGAGGGAGGTTGAAATTGAAGATATGACAGAAAGTGCCAGAGAGGCCGGGAAGCAGAAGGACGAAGTGATGAAGAAGCTAGCCAGGTTAAAGAGAAAGGATAGAGAAGTGTAGGCATTCTTTATTTCGCATCGTCTTGGAAAGGTCGATATTGACTCTTGCCCAGGCGTCAGCGATACGAGATCGCGAAAAGGGAGTATGGGCAGAGGATAGGACGATTTGCTATCGCACATGAAATTAACGAAGTAAAGATCTCTCAGCTTGCCAGTGCAGTCAGTTTCTCCCGTTTGGTGATGCGCTTCTTTTTGTGCCCAACTGATAACTCCGCTATATCGACGCAGATCGTAAAAGAACGCCGGCGAAACATCAAGTACAGGTCGAAGGTATGTACTTTTTCCTAGTATCTATTTCACTAGCTTACCTCTCGCCTAATTCAGATCACAGATTTAGCTTCAGGCGGATACGTTGCCCCTGGACCCTGGCCGCTCGATCCAGACGATATTGAGATTCGAGATGACAAGAATACGGAAGTTTCGCTACAAATACCTGGGAGCTACCCGAAGTCCAACCTAGATGGAGCCACTCAGTGTGACGAAGGAAACCTGCTGCCTAGTGAATTTAAGTTTGGAGAGATTTTCTAAATTTCCTAAAGATACGCACACGTTCTGCCAAATGCCATAATGCTCCCAACAATGATACTCGAGCGGTCGGAAAGACGGTGGGCAATTGCTACCACAAATATTCCGGACAGCTCCATTCCCATCAAGTTATTCTAATAGAGGCTGTTACCCGGACAGCCCGCCTTTCGGGCATTAAGTGTGCCAATTGAATCGGCCAACTCCGCGGCCACTGGGATTGTACCTGACTTCCATCAGCCTTTCGATGACCCTTGACGCCGACTCGGACTCGGTACGATGCCTCACTGTCGAAGAGTGTCAGCAGCTCCCTATATCTCCAGCACTCGTATCTTGTGCAGCCAATCTCGTTAATTGTGTGTTCTCTGAGCCGGAAGTGTCTATGTGCGTCAAACGATCCCATCAGCCTCGATGTTTCCCACCGATCTTCGCGCTTTTCCATGCATCCTCTGTAGCGCGCATCATCCAGAATCACTGCCTTCTCGCAGACTAGGTGCTGTTCTAGTTCTTCTCTATGAAAGGGAAGGGAAGATAAGGGTGCTTCTTACCACCCGCTCCAAGCGTCTGAGAAGCCATCCCGGTGAGGTTGCCCTCCCTGGCGGGCGCAGTGACGACGATGACATTTCTCCGATAAGAACTGCTGTGAGCTTAAACGTATTCGCCGAGCCACTCCTCCGTCTTGTTGATGTCCTGAAAGCTCAGAGAGGCGAATGAAGAGGTTTCATTACCTCTTGGCTGTCCTCACATTCATGTCCTCCGAATACTTCCTCCCTTCCCTTCAATATACTCACTAGTGGTCACTCCTGTTGTCTCTGTTCTTAATGACACGTCAATCCTCACTCAGCTAGTGCCTAATCCTGGCGAAGTTGATGACATCTTTGACCATCCACTGGAAGTACGTGTCTAACATGATGCGAGCCTCATTTTTTGATGATACTTAAGGCTTTTCTGGATTATAATATTATGAACGATGAGCCAAACCTCTCTCCACAGGATAGCGAGAATTGGCACTATCCAGAAGAATTATATGTGGGTGGGTCATTTATACTTGGGGGTACGCGTATAACACAATGGACATCCAGAACCAGAATGAGCATCCGATATTCGATGGAAATCACATGTATCGAAACAACCGCTTCCGATCGACATCGATGGCTGTCAAAGGTCTCACATCATCAATCATGGTCAGCAATACGGTGGTCACTATTGCATTTGTGTTAATCATTGATGACGATTAGATTTTCGTTGCGGAAATAGCATTCAATCGCAAACCATCATTTCAGCATCTTTCCGCCCTACATCTCCCATTTGGTGAATCCGTTCGAGCTATTGTAGAGGGAAAGCTGATGCGACCAAGTGATCTGCAACTTCCGACCACTTCACCATATCGAACGCGATTGCAGGATGAGATCTCGGCTGAGGAGGGCGGGTATACGTTGGATGGAAGTATGACCCCTGGAGTCGTGCCGGAAGCTTGAGTATGGATCCAATAGGCGATGATTTCAGTGTAATGCACTAGTTATAAATTTGATTTGCGCGGAAAAGCTGTTGGTGTTGAGTTGGCATTCAGATGCCCTTTGCGCCAATGTCCCTTAGTTGTTCCTTTGTTTGACCAGTGCTTTGTGAGCGGCGTTGCTAAGAGGATGCGATTACCTTTGTTCCTCATGTTTGTGCCACACCCTAAGTGTATATCAGCGCAATGAGGATAATATTTTTTGGCCTCGCTATTCGAGAGAGGCTTGTGGTCATATATATCGGCGTTTACACCTTAGGTGCGTGCTCCTTCGACAATGAGCATTGAGTATAGCCTGATGGCTCATAACGAGTGTCTCTTTGTTGGAATCTTGCCCTTCGAAGAAAAAACTTTGCATTTCCTCCAAAGATTCTTCACTACAGTTTTTCACCCCCCAATGGTGAACATTTTGTATTTTGCATGTAGACACTGCAATTTTGCATCAAATTATATGAAGATTTTTGCAAATAGGAATGTTGTTTCATACCCTAGCCAGTTGGCTGAGGAATGTAAGGATGAAGGAGGAAATCAGGCTAGTCAGCCAATTAACCCACCCTATCAAGGGGTGTTTTTTATGCTTCAAATAGGGCCTAAACAGCCTATTTCAATGTGGATGTCCTGGGATGTCCTGGTGATGCGGCTTGCTGCCAAAAATGGACTGTGGGAAAATCTGAGGATGTCCTGATAACTATGTGCCCTGTGATGTTGTACATATGGCTATTTACATAAATAGTAGACAGGAAAATGGAAAAGATAAAGGGAATTAGGGCCGAGGTGGGGGAATGGCCAATGTTTCTCAATGATTTCGAGCATTATACTCTGCCATGGTGCTTTCAAGGGGATTTTTAATGCTTATAAAGATTTTGGAGATTTTACAGGCCATTGTAGATAACCATATCCAGTATGCACCTACTATGGGTAGCTTGCAAGGCTGGGATCTCTGTCAAATCTCCACCGATTTGGAAAATCCATTGCTTACAAGTACATACAAGCTCTGGCTAACATTCTGTAAGGAAATGTATAACCTTATAGCTAGGTATCAGAATGAAGAACACATATGTTATGTCGCATGTAAGCATATATATTACCACATTCAAGTTCTAACATGTGTTGTCATGAATATTCACCGAACATGGATTGCGTGGGGAAGGGAAAAAGTTGACATTCAGAGTCTCTCAGGGGGTTGGCTCAGGATGAGCCACCCTCGCCACCAACCTCGTCATCACCATCCCCATTCGGATGGTGGGGCCTTCTTCCTGAGTTAGACCTAACTTGGTCTACATGCCTCTTGCTCCCTTCTGGAGCCGCAGGTGGTTGTGAGAATCAGTGGTAGTGATCCAGCACCCGTCTGAGTGCTGTGCCATGGGACAGTCTTTCGGGGTCTTCACTGTTTGCCCCACGACCCACGTTGTATATGAATGCCGCATCTGCATCCAGACAGGCGTTAAAGTCGAAAGTAGATTCGCTGAGACTACGCTTAGCGAAGATAGGTCTGACCTTGGCGGGCTGTCCGCCAATGTCATCTACACGATCCTGGACGTAGATCAGGCGTTTTTTTCATGTGTAATAATCATACGGAGCACTGGTGACTTCCGCATCACCGTCTTCCTCCTGTATCATCTCTACAGTGGCTGTTAGAACCGGGGCGGAAACAGATGACTCCGGAGTGGAATCGGAGACTTAGCGTGGAGGGACCTTGGCCTCAGCGACTCAAGCGGAGCACTGTGCCATTGCTGTTTGTCCATTTGGTCCTTAATTTCACAGTAGGTGAGCAGGAAGTCTCTAGGGGGCATTTCAGGTCGATTTCGGACTGAACCAAAACGAGTATGTACAAGCGCCGATATATATAATGGAGGGGGCAAAAACACAAGGAAAACAAAGGGTAACCGAATCGGAACGAAGATGTCCGAACGGGAACAAAGGGTAGAGGAAGTGGAGCGGTACCGAAGGTCATAAGGCAAGACCTGTGATACATCCGAAAGGAGGTAGGGAGGGTGAGGCCCAGAGGGGCAGGAGGATGAGGAGAAGTGGGGATGATGACTAACTGGCTAGGATAGGAAGAAGCAGTAGTCCAAATAGGGATGAGGGAAAAACGCGAGAGATACATTACAGGCGGCGAAAGTGCCGAAGGCAATCCGCGAAGCTCGGAGGTTGCAGAGCTTACGGAGGTTACGGAGGCAGGGTTGAAAGTCCGAGGGATATTGGCAATGGTGTTTACGTAGTATGAGGTCACCAATGCAATGGACTAAGACCGAGGTGGAGTCAAAGTCCAAGGTGGGGACTATGATGGAGGCTCGGAGCAAAGGTATGAGCGGTGTCCGAGTACGAAGTACGGGACAGCAGTGGAAGGTCGTAACTTGGCGGAAGGGTGGCGGAGGAGTACCAGAGGGAGGAGAGAGGGGAAAGGTAAGGAAGAGGGAGTGATGGAAAGGAGAGTTGTCAGGTCCGAAGGTGAGTATTGGAGCGGATGGGGGAAGCGTAGGAGGATGACGGTGTAGGCGGGATAATCGCCCATGCGCAGAGCCGGCTCGGATACCCAATTTCACGACCATAAAACCACTTCCATTCACACAACAACTCGGTACGGATTCGGTATCTAAAAATAGTCCTAATTCGTACGATTCTGACGATACCAAGAACGCCCCAATCGGTCGAGATTTGACGGAGTTCTGCATTGGACAGGTTAGGCACGGAAGGTCACGAGTATGTGCGGGTGTGGGAATCTCAAGCGGCAACCCAGAATTCCAGCCTCACTCGTTCCCACGGCATCTAATAAATTGGTAAAAATGCTTATTGGCTGCGTGAGAGTTATCTCCGGCTCCATTTCCAATTTTGGCCTTTAATTCCATAAATCCGTTGAGATATCGCTTATTTACTTATATTTTCATATTTTGCATCATTTCAGTTATTGATCAATATTCTTTTATTGATACTGTTACCCTTTTTTTATTATTTCGCCTAATAAGAAGTTCTCCCCTCCCCCAATTTTCTCTAAGGTGCTAGGACGTGCTAGAGTGGGTGTGAGTGTGTGGAATTCCAACAGTAGGAATAAGGGCAGTGATCTAGCTCACAACGAGTGAGTAGTGGATACTGAGCCCGGACCTTGTGGAAATCCTGGAGAACCCACCACGGAGTTAAGGATCGAGAGTCGAGCGAAGTTTAGAGAGAGAGTAGAGGTTTTGGAGAATTTGGCCCCACGAGCTTAGTCAGCATAGAGAGCCGCGAGCCCTCTTTCAATGGGAGGGTGGAGGTGTTGTGAAGGAGGAGCGGAGTAGGAGGGTGGAGAAGTAGTAGGAGGGTGGCGAGAGGGGCGGTGTTCGGTCTGAGGTGAGTATCGGAGCGGAAGGAGATAGGGTAGGAGAGGGAAAGAGGAGTAGGGGTGGCGTGGGGGGTAGAAGGAGGTGTGTTGCCAGGACCGAAGGTGAGTATCGGAATGGCAGCGGTAGGGTATGACTCCGGAGGTGAAGAGGGTGGAGGTCCGGAAGTCGGGTAGTGGTGGTCGGGTATGCACGGATATGACAGTGGCCTTCATTGGCACTGCTTTCTTTCTCCTGTGGTCGGGAGGGAAATTATGCGTTTGAGTAGCGTCAACATGTGGTATTTTCACCCCACCGTTCGTGGGTTGCGATGACAGAATGAACGGCGCAGGCACAAAGCCTGGCCTGAAATGGGATGGAGAAGTTCCACTCTCCCCCACAGTCGACGATCCAGCCAGTTGTCCTGGGTCGATCTCCCTACCTTTTCCCTTGGCATCAGTGGTTACTGGCACCGTCGATGGGGTAGGTGGCTTAGTTCCACTAAAGATGGGAACAAATCGTCTGTCAGATTCTTGTACCTCGACAGATGGGCATGAACTTGCTGCCACTGTGACGACAGCAGAGACAGTGGGGATCTCTCCAGGTATGGGGACCCCAATGATTGGTTGACCCATTTGATTAACAGGGACTACAGGGACCTCCTGGGGCGCTTGCGCCTCCACAGCGGGTTTAGTGGTTGGTTGACCCATTTGATTAATGGGGACTACAGGGACCTCTTGGGGCACCTGCACCTCAACAGCGGTTTTTTTCATCTGGTCAGAGATGATGATAGGGTCCCCACCCGTTGTTGGGTTCACTGGAGGGTTTGCAGGTGGGTTATCCACCGTTGCTGCAGGTGGCTTTGGCTCGTCGCGTCGAGAGAGTGCGAGGAGAATTTCGTTTAATTTCTCATTAAGTCTTTCCTCCACCTTAATGATGTTTCAATCTAGACAAGCAATGTTATCGCTATTCCCAGAGATTTGGGTATTCATGTTACGGACATTGCCCCTCAAGTCAGCGATGTCATTGTCGACTTGGTCGATGTGATTTCTTAGTACTTGTGCTGTTTCAGATGTGAGGGAGTGGGTTGGGGATGGAGGATGCGATGCATGCATTGGTGTCATATCCATACAATCCCGACCTCCGCTCCAGGCTCCCGGAACTCCGAACCTGACTTCTGGAGTCCTACTTCCCTTCCGTCACCTCCTCCTTGCCAACTCCCAAGAGGTTATCCCACCTCCGGCTCTGACACCACCTTCGGTCCGACTCCGGGACATTCCGGGTCCGCCCCCAACCTCGACACCTTCCAGACGAGTACGCAAAACCTATGCTCCCGACTCCGGACCTCCGCTCCGGAATCCCATTCGCATCTCTGTCTCCAGAACCTCCAGTCTTAGCTCCGACCTCGGACTTTGACCCCACCTCTGCTTATACCCATTGTATTGGTTAGCTCATTCCATTTAATTATGTTTGCCAATATTCCGGAGTTTAACTTCCGAGTTCGGACTTTCCGGACTTACCTCGGACCTTGCAACTATTGCATTGTCCTATTCAATTCCGCTATTCTCCCTCATTCCTATTTGGGCTGCTGCTTCCTTTCTATTCAGTCAGCTAGCCATTCCCGACTCCCATCCTCCTTCCTTCCTTCTTGGGCCTTGGCCCTTCATTCCTCCTTTGGGAAACACCATTGAGTCAAACTCTTGACCCTCGGTGTTGTTCCTCTTTCCATCTCCCTTTGTCTCCTTTTGTCCTACCCTTGTTCCTTTTGATTCCGGACCCCTCCTTATATACAATGTACCTAGTAACTTGTAACCTCAGTCCGAAATCAACATGAATTCCCCCAAGAGACTTTCCCTCTGCTAGATCTGAAATTAGGGACCCCTAGGACAACCAGCAATGGCACAGCGCTCCG